TATATATGTATATATATATATATACACACACACACACACACACACACACACACATATATATATACGCGCGCGCGCGCGCGCGCAGACACACGTATACACATACACATCGCACCGTACACACGCACGCACACACTCTTTTCACAATCCATTTTTCTCTAGCTTCAATGAGAATATATGAAAGTTTTTACTTTATATTGTTTATAATAAATAAAGTGTTTTCTATAAGAGAAGACTTCAAATTTTTTTTAACGTATGAGTTTCGTATGTATGAATGTATGTGTACGTTCTTAAGTATCCTTTTATACATAATTTTTAGTTTGTACATAAATAATTTTAGTCTTAAAAGCTGGACGTGGAAGTTAGTTATTTAGTTTTATAAATTTTGTAAAGACAAAGTAAAGAGAAACTAAAATTTAACGACATAATCAATTTGCGTGAAACGTGATTTGTCAGTTTACGTATTTTGAAGTGTTTGCTGAAAAACTATAAGTTTGTTCGTAATCATCGGTTATAAAAAGATAATAATAATAATAAAGTAGATTTTTGTTTATGACTGCGACACTATAATATTCATGTTATAAAAAATGTGATAATAATATAAAAAATTTTGTAAAAAAAAAATTTGTAATTTAGTTTGATAATGCTTTAGGTGAAAATTACAGATGATAGTAGATTACGTTTATGGAAGCTGAACAATGAAATGAACAAAAATAAGCGAGCCTAAACTTTTCTAATGCTAATTACTCAGTAGTGCCTGCACGTCGATTTTTCTTTAAGTAGTAATCTTTATCTTGCTATACGTATAAATGTAGTACTTAAAATAAAAAAAATTGATTTTCTTCAAGATTTTAAGATATCGTTTTCCTGCATGATCTCTTGAAATCTGAAAACTTATTGTCGTAGGCCTTAATCGTACTTTACATTGATTGTGCATAGAAACGTAAATATACTTTTGCCTTGTATTTTTTGTGCATCAAAAACGTAGAATACCGCTTTTTTCGTTATTTATTTTTAATCTTTCGTATACTTTGCTCTTCCCGCACGCTGTCCAGTTTTTCTTGTAATTGTCATACAATGAATTTTTTATTTTAAGACCATTTGATAAATCAAAGCCTTTATCGAATGAGTGATACAATTTAATGAATAATTACAGTTTAATATAAACTATTCTCTTGTGCGTGTGAAATGAGTTTTTGTAAGGAAATTTTTAATATTAATTAACTTAATTTTTATATAAATTTATCTTACGTAAATTATAAATTATTTAAATACATATAAAAGCTTTATATACTTTTAAAATATGATGTAAATATTATTTTTTTTGTTTTTTTTTTGTTTTACTTTTTTTTTGTTTTTTTGTTTTTTTTTTATTTAATTACTTTTGAAACCCTAGTAATGATAATTCTAGCTGATAAAAAGTAGTATTGCTCATTTGATAATGGAACTATTTATTTTAAAATACTCTTATATAAGTAAAAATGATGTATGATTTTGCTACTCTAAAATATACAACAAAATTTTATTCTCGAAAGGTAGGGAGATGCAACGAGAGAGAGAGAGAGAGAGAAAGAAAGAAAGAAAGAAAGAAAACAAACAAACAGAATTAAATGATACTTTTACTCCCCGTTGATATCTTCCTTTCTTGAATTCGCGGAGTTAGTTTATTTAGATTTTTAATCGAGTTTTTATTTGTATGTTCAAGCCGGACCGATTTTACGAAGCCGTCGAAGTTAAAACAGATTCGGGTGAAGCCGTCGAGGGACTTCCGAAGAAATTCGTACCCACGAGCTACGGTTCGTCCCCGAAATTTTACTCCTAAAATAGAAAAAATAAAAGAAAAAAAAAAGATATCGGTATAAATGGCCTAAAACGTTATGGTGCACTTATATTTTTTTCTGTATCACTTTTGTGTTTTTTTTTTTTTTTTTTTTTTTTTTTTTTTTTTTTTTTTTGTAACCGTGATCGTGTGATAGAATAAAATATGATATTTTGTAAATAGACTTGTTTCTTATATAAGATATATTTATTTTTTTTATACTTCGTTCGTATATAATATTTCGCTGTAAATAAATTAACAAATCGATTCATTGTCCTCAGTTATCGAGGCCAGTAAAAGGATTAATTATACGGCGAGTAATGTCGCAGTAATTGACTGATAATAATGCGTTTTATAAAATGATGTTATGTAACCTTAAATCATCATAGCTTTATTTACTTCACATTTTTATAAAGTTAGTAGATCTAATCATAGAAAATCTATCTCGACGTGAAAACTTTGGAAAATAAAAGTGTAAAATTTGACTGGTAACGTTGAGAAGTTGTAAATATGTTGCGTAAGTCTATTCAAGCTTCAAAAAGTATCGCACAACGTAAAAAAAAAATTTTTTTTTTCTTCTGTGTAATATATATATATATATTTGTATGTGCATATGTATATTTTAACTTTTTAAAAAATATATTTTTTTCAATATTGTTAACGTTTTCTAATAAATCATATTACTAATTTAGTAAAAGAATCAATGTTTTAAAACTGTGTGATACTACTTGTTTGACTTATAAACTTTTTTTTTTTTTAATCTTCTCAATCATGATTACTTTTTCACTTATTCTATATAATGCCAGAAGAGTAGTATGTATATAAAAGTAGTACCATTATAATTATTTTATTAATAATGTTTAAAACCGTTACATGCCATATTTATTTTTTCAACCACTTTTTATTCATGTAGTATTTGATTTGTTAATAAATAAAATTTCTAATTTTATAACTTGCCTGTTTATATTTATTTAATGTTCGATTGCTTAAAATTAATTGCATACATAAAATACCCATCTTGATTTTATGTGTCAGTCAATTACTGATGCATTTGGTTTAATCGGATAACAGCTTCAATAATAATTTATCTAAAATATCTTTTAAATTTTAAATCTAGCGTGATATCGTAACACTTCGTAATATAATTAAAATATTCGCGTAATTTAACGAATATTATAAGAACGCAAAATACGTTTCAGAATTATATTCTTATTTTGCTGAATTTACCGAGTGAAAAGTGAAAAGTTGATTTTTCACTTACTTCGGTTTATAAAAAAAAAAAAAAAAAAAAAAAAAAAAAAAAAAAAAAAAAAAAAAAAAAGTCAATATCAAATTGACTTAAATGATATTTTTATATAAATATTATAAGAAAAATGACTCGTTAACAAACTTCTTCATCTTAATAAATAACAAATGATCCTAAGAGATGTCGTTCACATCACCAAATGAAGTCATTTTTAGCAATCTTTTATTATTTTAGATTTCTTATAAACTTTTCCGACTTTAATCATAGACTTATATATTCGGTCTTATAATAGCCTTTTGTATTCATGAATATTCGGTGCATCGTTTACTTATTGTTATTAATTTTCGTTTAGGGCCTTCGACAATATTTCGTAACACTCGAAGAAATTCCTTTTAATTTTGTCGATTATTTTAGATGTTAATTTTTGATATTATTTATATAACTATTAAATGACTATTGTAAGATTAATTACTCTATTACTTTTTCCTCTAATCCCACAAAGTACAAAATCTTATAGTTGACTTTATGTTGTGACAATCATAATTCAAACTTTCGACTCCCATCAATGTTTAGTCTTAAAATAATTTATTATACTTATTTATGAGAGATGGATTGATTCGAAAAACAGATTTAATCGAGTATTTTATGATAGTTTATTAAACAAAACAAAAAAAAAAACAAAAAAAAATGAAAAAAAAATTAAAGAAAAATGTTTTTTTAATTGTTGTTTTAATACACCTTTTCAAACAAAAATTGTTCTTTGAATTTATTCATCTCTACTAATTGATGTCAAATGTTACGAAGAGTAAAGTCGTTTGTGTGGATTTATAAGCTTCAAATCTATCATCACATCATTTTATAAAGAAGTAAATCATAATTATAAATTAATGTTAATTTATTGTGGCAAATAGGTTTTTTCCTACTTTCGATAATAAAAGACTTTGCTAATCGCTTCATCTGTCAAAGATTTTGCATGTAAAAAGAAAAAAATCAAAGATGGGGAAATATTATAATTGTAAAATAATCAATGAATTGTTATCAATATTTACTTTTTATTTCAATACGTATGTTTATATATATGCATATATATATATATATATATATATAAAGTGGAATATTTTGTTTATAATTTTCGATTATATCGTTCAATTGTTTTACTATTAAAATTAATTTTTCGAACGAAGTTTTTAAAATTTTATAATTACCGTTCATAATATTGTAAAGAGGTGATAAATGTAAAATTATGATAATTATTTTTTATTTCTTTTTCCACATTATAGAATTGTTTTTAATTGTGATATAAATGTAGTCCTGTTGAAATTAGTAAACTTTCATCTAATATGGTTTGTTATCAAATATTCATTCGGGAAAATTAAAGTCTGTTTATTGAAGGTACCCATCTCTGATAGTAGATCAATAACTAGATAAATAAATAAATCAATATAAAAAACAACATAATAAATGTATTAAAAAAAAAAAAAAAAAAAAAAAAAAAAAAAAAAAAAAAAAAAATAAATAAATAAATAAAATTAAAAAAAAAAAGAGAGAAAAAATTTGATAAAGGTACTGTCTTTTTAGGGTGATCGAATGACGTACACGTGAAACGGAACGTTCAAACGTCGGCGAGAAACACAAAGAGAAAGAGATTAACAGAAAACGAACTTGTAACGTTTGTGTAACGTTATAAAAGTAAAAAAATACACTTGCTATTAGGAAAGTCGTCAGTCATACGTGGGGGATTCATATGGAGCATATGCGCAAAAATATTCGCTCCAAAGTGTCCCACAGAACTACCCCAAGTACTAGCCCAAGCAAGAAAGTGTCGCTACGCATCTCTTGTCAGTTCGATTTCTATTATTCACTTTTGTTGTAGAAGTATAAACTGATGAGAGGAAAAGGCAAAAATATAAACTTATACATAAGAAACGAACAATATATATATTTTGCGGACGCATTCCTTTACGTCTTCTGGAGGGTAATAAATGGGGTGGGGTTGGAGAGGGGGATTGGAGGAGGAGGAGGAGGAGGATGAGACTTTTTCCTCGTGTTGATAAAGTAGCTCTGTTTTCAATATATGAAAATACGATGCCCATGTTATATAATTTAAAACAAATGCGTAAAAATAGAATGAGTGATAGAATGAACGTACAAAGAAAGAGGGGGCTTTGGACGGGGGGAGGAGAAGACCGTGTATGTGTGTGTGTGTGTGTGTGAGAGAGAGAGAGAGAGAGAGAGGGGCGCGCGAGTTTAAGCCGTTGCCGAGGATGCTTTTGACTTTTTTACGACGACCCGAGCCAAAGTCATTAATTTATAGGTGCGAGTTTTGTTTCTTCTTCTCGTTATTATGTATCGATAAGTTAATGTGTGTAGGACGAAAGAAATTTATGGACGAGAGGAAGCGAAAAAGTTTAATACCAAATGAGAATTTTGTTGAATAAAGAGGATAATTTTTTTCACATTTCATAGCCCAGTATATTTATTATCATTTTCCTTGTTTTAAATTGCTATTGTTTCTATAATTTGTATAGATGATGTTATTATTGTACTCAATTGTCATCCATTTGGATCATTTCAAATTTACAAAATTATACATGTCCCTTACGTGTAATGTATGTCATTTTGTCTTCTAAAAAGCTCATTAACTTCTTAATATAATGTTATGTACAAGATCGTAGCCTTAAGGGCTTTATAAGTCCTAACATTACTAAACTCTTATACTACTGGAATAGCGGAGAATTAATTATAACGAAAATAGAAAAATAGTTAAATTTAAAGTCTAATTTCATTTATTACTTGGAAATAGATAATCAATTATTGTTTAAAGCCGTTAGTAGATAATATAATGTAATTATTGAAAGTTACTACGAATTAACGGAATAATTATAATTCAGTCAAAATTTTTCAATACTATGCAATTTTGCTTTATAGGTGCAAGTTACAACATTCGGTTAAAGTGAACAGAACCATTAGATTAATGAATTTTCACAGAAAGCTGGTACTTTCGAGTTTTTATAATAACTAAATTTGAATATGAAGTAAACATTTCCTTTTGTTGTAACGTATATTATTACAGTTGATGTGTCATTTAGAGAATTTAACGATAGCTCAGTAATCAATCAGTAAACCAGTCGTCCATTAATCAACATGGGAATAGCGAAATAGTTTAAATATAACGTTCGATCATAAATTATCTTTTTATTTCTTAATAATAATAAAAGCTATTACGCGCGAGTGATACATTGTTATTTATCTAAATATCAATGAATATATATACTATAATGTAGATTAATTTTTTGTTTCTACGAATTTAAATTTAAATTTACGTTCGTATGTGAGCAAGCACCATTTATATTTTGTTACGAGAATTGATTATAAATTATGCAAAATTCTATTCTGTATATCACTTGAATAAGCTTGTGGATTATTTTGTCCGTTCATAGGATTTCGACTGACTGCAGATGACTATCACACTAATGAATGAAATTAGATGAAATGTGTTTGCATTCTCAAGGACAATTCATTTTTTCTAAAGGAAATATAAATATACTTTTATGAGACGTGTATGATTGCGTTAAATTTTGGTATGTGCCAGCGACAATGTAGAGATAAAGAGTTTAGATTATTGTTCAACAAGAAAGAAAGAAAAAAGAAAGAAAGAAAGAAAGAATGAAAGAAAAAAAGAAAGATGATGAAAAAGTAACTAAGATAAACGAAACAATAAGAAAGCTGATTAAAACAGTTTTGTTTTTAAGGTGAT